TAATGATTTCAACATGTTTTTGTTATATTTCATAATAATAATAATAATAATAATAATAATAATATATATATATATATATATATATATATATATATATATATATATGCACATTAGTTTTTAGAGATATACGTTTGCAATGGGCGTGTATTCGAATTTTTTTTGTTTCTGCGTGTGTTGATAATGTTTTTTTCTTTTTGTGTAATATGTTTGTACTATTTTGTATGTGCATGTGTATGTGTGTGTGTGTGTGTGTTTGGATACATTCATGTTTTTGTAAACATTCACAAAGCATACAAGGCCTCTAACACAAAGAATTACTCAGAAGACGAGAGAAAAAAATGAGAAAAAAGAAATAAAATTATAAAAAAAATGAAGTAAGTATCTAATATAATGAAAAGGTAGGAAAAAAAGAATAAAATAAATGAAATAAAAATCGAAGAGATGAAAAAAAGGAAATAAATATTTAACAGAAAGAAAGAAAGAAAGAAAGAAAGAAAGAAAAAGAAAGAAAAGGGTGGAATAAAGCTAGAAGAAATGATAGAAAGAATTAAATACTTAATGAAATATTTAATGAAATAAATAATGAAAAAGAAAGAAGAAAAATAGGATAGATAGATAGATAGATAGATAGATAGATAGATAGATAGATAGATAAAAATAGATAGATAGATAAAAAGAAATAAAGAAAGAAAGAAAGAAAGTAAGAAGGACTGACGAACGTAAGAACGAAAGAATAAAACTTAAGAAATTAATTATTTCATGTGGAAAAAAGAAAGAAAAGAAAGAAATAAAAGATTTGAAGAAACCGACAAATAAGAATAAAAGAATGACTGATTTCAAAAGAAAGAAAAGAAAGAAAGAAAGAAAGAAAGAAAGAAAAAAAGAAAGAAAGAAAGAAAGAAAGAAGGAAAAGATTTCAAGGAAACGACAAAACGAATGAAAGAAAAAGTAAGAAAAGAAACCGACAAAAGAGAATAAAAGAATGGCTGATTTCAAAAGAAAGAAAAAAAGAAAGAAAAAAAGAAAGAAAGAAAAAAGAGAAAGAAAGAAAAAAAGAAAGAAAGAAAAAAAGAAAGAAAGAAAAAAGAAAGAAAGAAAAAAAGAAAGAAAAGTTTTCAAGGAAACGACAAAACGAATGTAACGTAATTTCAAAGAAGAGAAGAAAGAAAAAAGAAAAAGAGAAAGGAAAGAAAAAATAAAAGAATAACTTATTTGAAAGAAAGAAAGAAAGAAAGAAAGAAAGAAAGAAAGAAAGAAAGAACAAGAAAATATGTTAGAGTTACGTAGGAGAAATGGCAGAAGGAATGAATTATCACATAAAAAGAAAGACAAAATATGAAAGAAACCTCGAAAAAATAAAAGAAGGAATGAATTATTTCATAGAAAGAAAGAAAGAAAGAAAGAAAGAAAAAAGAAAGAAAGAAAGAACGTGGATAAAGAAAAAGGAAATAAAAGAAAACAGAATAATATGAAGGATAGAACGAATGTTAAACAATAAATCTCAATAGAAAAAAGAAATTTCGAAAGTGACTATTGTATTTGAATCGGAGCAATGTGAACTATAGGTACCACAAGTGACATGTCTCTGGGAGGAGTCCTCGTTCTTCCATTTAGCCCACGATTTTGCAAACTAATAAACGTTCATAATAGGTTGAAAAGTGACTTGCTGAAGCAAACGAAGAATTAAATACAGAGCATGTGGACAACAAGATGACCTCTTGAATGGCAGACCGCAGGATAATCTTTCTTTCAACATTCGTAAGTATCAGTGTAAGCCCCCCACCCCCCAGGCAAATGTGATTAACGGCGCCCGGCGAAGAAGCAGCTAAAGGCTTCCCGATAAACAGATGATCACTGAATTAGAAAAGACAGTTTTATAGTCAGTAACTTTAACGCCCTGATAATGAGTTGGTGTCGCTGTTTACTAAAAAGTTATCTGTGGCAAATGGAATATGATTTAAAAAAATGGAAACCATCGTTAATGATCTTTTTTTTTTAGTTTTCACAACGAGAAAAAACTACTATTAAGGAGAGAAGACAATAAAACAACAAGGACGAAGAGAACAGAAGATAACGATTGGCATTGCATTTCAAGATTTTGAAGATCAAAGATGACAGGTAATCAAGAAGCTCTTGGTATAGAACTTACGGTTACATCTAGACATTTTCACTGTAAAATGAAGAGAAATTGCTGCCAATCTAGTACTGCGCTTAAATTCATAAAGTCTAGGTATCAAAGCAGCTATAGCAGTGGTGAACCAAAAAACTTGGGGTGTTGAGCTGAATGGAAATAACTGAGACATCTGGAAGAGGGATGGCACGTGGAACTAGAACAATCTACCCTGTTGGATGAAATAAAAGGTTCGGTTCAAAATTTCAATCACCTGAAGAAGGCCGGATCGTACTGCAACCGAGACGTTGTGAATATGTCAATGAAGACGAGGATAACAGTCCGAATAATATAAATAATGCAAGTTATCATAACACCACCTCTCAGAGATATAGACAGACTGTACGGGAAGGTCATCAGAACAATTGCCATAAAAGTAATTATAGAAAAGGCACAGGGAATCTACGTTACGAAGGTTGGGAAAGGACAGAAACCGAGATGCCAGGTTAGAACCAATAATTCTCTCTCTCTCTACACACACACACACATATATATATATATATATATATATATATATATATATATATATATATATACTTCAAATGTATTTTTAGTGGACATCCGCATTTGAGTAGAACGTCCCGTTTTTTCAAACAGTGTTTATTTCGTGTACCGGGCTTCTGTGCATTCAAGAAATCTTCAATAAAGAAATTGTGCCTTCTCTGGGATTCGAAACTGAGCCACACTTCGTAGGAGGAACCACCGTCTAGTTCAGCGTCCGTTAGACCACTCGGCTACAGAGACACTTACCGGCGATGTTCGACTCAAATACAATATGCGGCCGAAAAATAATCTTACAATCTAAAATATATCTCGACTTAATATCACCCACAAAATGTTGATAAGCCATAAAAAAACAATCAAAAAACCCTACACCGGGATCGGCAAAGATTCCATCCTTTTTTCAATATATATATGCATATATATATTATGAAATGGACAAAGTCCGACAATTATTTTAAGGCATTTTTTTATGTTTATACATTCTTTTATAGATACAAATATTTAAGTAAATGCTCTGTTTTATAATAAACAGTATTAATAACATTTACAGACCTGAATGTCCGAGAAATTTTCATAGAAAATATTCGTTCTCCGACAGGAATCGAACTTGTATCCTATGCGGAAGCGTCGTTTAGCCTGACGTGTCTGAACCGAACGAGCCACTTGTGACGTCACTTGTTTACATTTGGATACGCTTTGAGCAGATATGAATGTACGTGAGAGATTCATGGAAGATTGAAGTTTAAAAGCAGTAAAATCAACCTTGCCAATCGAACGATTCTCCGTCGCTCGATCGGTAAAGTATAGACATAAAAAATGTCTTAATATATATATATATTCCATTATATATATATATATATATATATATATATATATATATATATATATATATATATATGTTAAATATAATATATATATATAATATTATATATATACTAATATAATATATATAATATTATATTGTAATGATATGATAGTTACACGTCTTTATTATCGTTCCTTTTTTCTTATAAAGCAGAATCATTTCTTCTCCTGTAACTTTCAAAATGTCTGTTACTATGACATCTCTCTGCAACTTTCAAAATGTCTGTTACTATGACATTTCTGTCTGCAACTTTCAAAATGTCTGCTACTATGCCATCTCCGTATGCTGATTTCACATTCAGAAGCGGAAACATTAATTTGTCTGTTACATCTGAAATATCTGTAATGAACAGTTGGAATGGAAATTGGTAGTTCTATATTCCTGAAGCATGCTGATACGTATATTACTCCTCCATTATCCTTAACATCTTATACCTATATTTGCTAGCTTCATTGTTATTTTAGGGATTCCACAAAAATATGTTCTCGATTTTTCAGGCATCTTTAGAGCCGTTGTTTCTCCTAGTTTTAAATTAAAATTTCGTACTTTGATCTAAACTTATGTAATCACTTATACTAACCTTTCTGTCACGATTGCACCTATGATAATATTGGCTCTATTAGTTATCATCAAGTCTAATTGCGGCCATTTCGCTTTTGAACAATTCTGTTCACAAATATCGATTTTCTCTTTCTAGAAAGTTTACTAACATTTCGCCTTTTTATTAATATTCAAAATATTTAAACCCTGAGTACTCTAGTTTTCATTTTCCTGAAATTTTCTCTAAAGTGCTCATCAAAATGGTGTTGTTCACCTATTCTTTGTCTATAACGTTGCTGACATCAACGTAAACAACTTCAATTTTCTATTTTTAATGTTTCGAAGGTTGGGCATAATTACTATACAAAACCTAATTCCTGTCCAAGCTGTTCTGTCGGATATATTATTAAAAGTTACAATGTTGACAGCAGTGTTGTTATCGAGTATATACGCTGAATTTTTAAGAATTTTATATTCGCTTCCGGTACCTTTAAAAGGTAAGATCTTCCGTCTATCTATTGCAGTATGTTCATATATATATATCTATTGCAGTATGTTCATATCTATCTATCTATCTATCTATCTATCTATCTATCTATTGAAGTATTTTCATATGTATGTATGTATGTATCTATCTATCTATGACAGTATGCTCATATCTATCTATCTATCTACCTATTGCAATATGTTCATAACTATCTATCTATTTATCTATTGCAGTATTTTCATATGTATGTATGTATGTATCTATCTATCTATTGCAGTATGTTCATATCTATCTATCTATCTATCTATTGAAGTATTTTCATATGTATGTATGTATGTATCTATCTATCTGTTATAATATGCTCATATCTATCTATCTATTGCAATGTGTTCATATCTATCTATTTATCTATTGCGGTATTTTCATATGTATGTATGTATCTATCTATCTATTGCAGTATGTTCATATCTATCTATCTATTGAAGTATTTTCATATGTATGTATGTATGTATGTATGTAACTATCTATTACAGTATACTCATATCTATCTGTCTATCTATCTATCTATCTATTGCAATGTGTTCATATCTATCTATGTATTTATCTATTGCAGTATTTTCATATGTATGTATGTATCTATCTATCTATTGCAGTATGTTCATATCTATCTATCTATCTATCTATCTATCTATCTATCTATCTATCTATTGCAGTATTTACATATGTATGTATTTCATCTATCTATCTATTGCAGTATTTCTTATATATCTATCTATTGCAAAATTTTTCATATGTATGTATGTATGTATGTATGTATCTATCTATTACAGTATGCTCATATCTATCTATCTATCTATCTATCTATCTATCTATCTATTGCAATATGTTCATATCTATCTATCTATTTATCTATTGCAGTATTTTCATATGTATGTATGTATCTATCTATCTATTGCAGTATGTTCATATCTATCTATCTATCTATCTATTGCAGTATTTACATATGTATGTATGTATCTATCTATCTATTGCAGTATGTTCATATCTATCTATCTATTGCAGTATTTTCATATGTATGTATGTATGTATCTATCTATCTATCTATTGCAGTATGTTCATATCTATTTATTGCAGTATTTTCATATGTATGTATGTATCTATCTATCTATTGCAGTATGTTCATATCTATCTATCTATTGCAGTATTTTCATATGTATGTATGTATGTATGTATGTATGTATCTATCTATCTATCTATTGCAGTATGTTCATATCTATTTATTGCAGTATTTTCATATGTATGTATGTATATGTATGTATCTATCTATCTATCTATTGCAATATGTTCATATCTATCTATCTATTTATCTATTGCAGTATTTTCATATGTATGTATGTATCTATCTATTGCAATATGTTCATATCTATCTATCTTTTGATATTTGTCTATGTCTGTATATAGGTTGTGTAGGCCCATGTTCCTGATTTCTACAAGCATGTATTTCCTTACGTAGATGCAAATATATAAGACCCGACCACCCCCGCCCCCAATAATTCTTTCGATCCAGTTCCCTCACTCCGCCCACCGTACAGAAACGATTCTTAATTGTCAAAGTATCTACTACCCGGAATTAAAGACAGGTATTACTCCGATAAAAGCCGACTTGAGGTGGCTCTTGAGTAGTCGGTCATGCAGATCAATGCCACTCAATGGTGGGACCAGGCCTGGGAGCACCTAGAACGAAGACGACGGAGGGGCCGAGAGTTGGTTCGAAATGCGTTAAACAGGCTGAACCATTTTTTATACTTTAAAGCTGTCTTACCTCTTTTGAAAAGAAAAAAAATCACTTCATTCTTTATTCTTAATTGTTATAAAAAGTCTCCTTTTCAAACACGTTTTCCTTAAGCCAAGCTATAATAATGTATTTATTGACTTAGTATTTATTATTATTGTATTTCATAGAGATGCCGCCATTTTTCTTTTTTATTTGTTTCATTTGTTTTATTTTTAGCTTCTTTTTTTATTTCATTCATTTTCTTTTATCTTCTTGTTTCATTCGTCCGTGTTTCTTTTCTTAATATTTACTTTTTCTCTCATATGTAATTCATTCTCTTTTCTTTCCTACCATTTTCTTCTTTCCGTTTTATTTTTAACTAGCAGTAGAGCCCGGCGTTGCCCGGGGATGTAACAGTAAGAGATAGATCAAGTATCGACCATCATAAAGACTGAAAAATAAAATTGACAAAGATTATTGTTTAAGGTTGACGGACACGCATGTCTTAATTTGTTTTTTTTTTTTTTTTTTACGAATTGGTCAAACCCAAACTCAAACAAAAACATTGTTTTCAATCGTTATAATTCTACCGATTGAATAGAATTTTATTATAAGCAATTGTCTTGTAAATGGAATTTTAAAGCATTCTGAATGTAAAAATAAAGAAAAAAAAAGTGTGCAAGACAATTAAACACTATGAACCAAAAAGTGAAGTTTTGTTGAAATCGGTTGAAAAATGTAGGAAATCCGATCCCATATATAAACGAACACACACACACACACACACACACACACACACACAACAAACAAACAAACAACCTGGGTTTTATAATAAGTATAACTCGATAACTCGATATTAATAAGTATTACTCGATATGAGTTGTCCCCCTTACATTAAGGCCTCTTAATCGTGTTTTCAAATTGATTTCGTGCAAAAACAATTGTGTTTTTCCAATTTTTGGCGCTGTCAGAACCACTGCAAGGTAATTTTACGTAGTCCTGTGAAGTTTTGTTGAAAGTTAACCAAAAAAATGTAGGAACGGAAAATCCGATATATAAATTGTTGAAGCTTGGATAAGCATGGAATAATAATAATACAACACAAAATGTACGTAAACAAAATGTATTGAAACAAGGAAAAGGTACACAATATTTACAGTTAGTTTTGGTATATTCTTGGGAAGACTGTTCCTGTAGAATGGGTTGACTTAATCGCAGTCGGGCAGAGTCTCTCGATTGGATCTCTTCTTACTTCTTCCCTCGTCTTCCCGGTACCAACCCATATTTATATGGTCGGTAATTTACTTATGTAAATTAGGTGGATCGTACCACAACAAATATATATCTACACACACACACACACACACACAATATACACACACTACATATCTACATACAATCTGCGTTTTATAATAAGTAAGATCTTGTTTCAAAACTTGGGTTATGGTGGTTTTTCAGTTATTTATTTTTAGATGTCAAAAGGAAAGAAAATATGGGGCACTCATTGAGGATCGAACTTACTACTCAGTCCTGATTGCTTTAGCGAGACAAGCTTGCTATTACACCATGCCGAGGCGACCTCATTCACTTTGGATATAAATATTGTTATTTTCTTTTTTTTATGTATTTTTTTTTAAAGTTTTTCTTTCCTTGATTTCTATTTTTTTTGTTTTTGCCTTCAGAATTATTTCATTCTCTTTCTTATGTATAGTTTTATTTCCATTCGTTTCTTTCTTTCAGTTTTTTTTATTTGTCTCTATTTCTCATTTACATCGATTTATTCTCCTTTTTTTTTTCGAACGTCCATTCTTTCTCTAATTTTTTTTCTTTCTTTTTTTTTCCGCTTGTTTCATCCTCTTTACATTTTTTTTTCATTGTTTGTTTTCTTATTTGTCTTTTCAGCAAATGTTTGTTTTGATGATAATATGGCTATTTATTTTTAATTCCCTTCACTGTTTTTTTCCGTTTTAGACTAAAGAAAATTGAAAAAATAAAAGAAAAAAAAAAAAAAAAAAAAAGGGAAAGAGTTAATTAAAAAAGAAAGGCAAAGATAGACAATGAGGAATTTCCTTCCAATGAAACAGGAATCAAAGAGAAGAAAACAGAAAACTAAGAAAGGAACCGACCATCAAAATAAAAAATAAAAAAAGAGAATGAATTCATCTTCTTTTTTTTACAATATTCTTCCTTTACAATTTCTGTTACTAAGTTTTTTTTGTTCTTGTTTTTTTTGCATTAACATTTCTTCTTTATTTTCGTCCTCCCCTCTTTTCTATATGTTCTTCTCTTTCTTTCTGATTGCCAATTTGGGAAATTTTTAACCATTCACCCATTTAAACTTTATAAATTTGATTTAAACGGGATCATTCCATTTTTATAAATCAAATCATTCATTCGACATTAAAAAACGTTCGAATTTTAACTTTTGGTACATTTTATTTAAATTTTAAAAATATAATCAAAAACCAACCCAAAGACCACCGACATCACTGGGAAAAACGGCTTCAAAACAAAGCCACGAAAATATATAGGTAAGTAAATTTAATCAATCAGAACAACAAAAAAAAATTGTCCCTAAGTTTATGGAGAATCAAACAACAGTTTATCAACAAAAAAAAGATCAATGAATAAATTTTTTTTTTATTTTTTAAAAGGAGATTTCATTTACATACCTTTATACGGCAATGTGAGTAAAGACATCAAAAGATTTATAAATATAGAAATAGAAATACAGAAGCAGACAGAAGATACAAAATAAATATTCATCTAAATATAATCACAAGCATATGAATATATATATATATATATATATATATATATATATATATATATATATGTGTGTGTGTGTGTGTGTGTGTGTGTATGTGTGTGTGTGTGTGTGTGTGTGTGTGTGTGTGTGTGTGTGTTGATTTTAGGCAGCAGATCATTATTTAAATATCGTTTGTTTAAAAATTATTGTAAATATATATTCTGAAGATGGCCCAAAAATTGCATTTTTTAGATCATTTTATTATTAATATGAAATTTTCCGGTCATTTTGATGGGCAATAGGAAATTTGAAATTTAAAATGATCTTTTATTCCATTTAAAAATAAAGCCTGTGTTTGAATATTTAAAAAAAAATATGATGAAAAATTAAAAATTCTTTTGACAAAAAAGCTTTTAAATAATTTTTAATATATTTGATGACAATTTTGCAATGATATTCCAAGACAAATCTACGGTTTATGTTAAATTCATCTCATTTTTATTGATATGATAAAACGTAACATTTCTTTTGATAAAAAAATTAAAAATAAATTGTGTTAATGGTAATTTTTTAAAAAATTTTGGTAAACATTTTAACAAAAACACACACACACATACACACACATAGACACACACGCACGCACACACACATACACAAATTTCACAAACACACACACACACACACACACAGGTTCAACATACATATATATATATATATATATATATATATTGAAATAAGAACGTTGTTAAATACTGTAACAAATCTTTTAAATTTTTTAAAAAAAAAAAAGTTTTTTTTTTTATTCTTTTTCATAAATTTTTTTTGGGAATTTTACGTTGATTTATAAAAATTTCAATGATTTTTTTTAAATTTAAAATGGAATTATTTTTTTAATTGTATTGATAAATAACCAATAAAAATAAACAAAATAAATAAAATAACAAAATGTATAAAAACTTTTGTATTGAGCCTTTTTTAAATTTAAATTAGATTGTTTTAAACAATTTTATCTTATCAATTTTATTTTTTTTTTATATATATATATATATATATATATATATTGGCCAAAATAAAAAAAAAAAAAATTTATTTAAGGTTTCATTATTTTTAATTTTTAGAAGTATTTTTTTAATTTTTTTATGGATCAAAAAAAATCTTTAAAAAATGAAATGATAAAAGATGAAATAGTTTTTACCACATTTTGGATGGGGGGTAGTATCATTTTTTTATTAAATTAAAACGGTTTTTTCAATGGTAATGCGAGACATGGTTGAAGTTTAGAGGGTTTATTTTAATATTTCTAATTCAATCATAATATAATTTTGATAAAGGATAGATATATATATATATATATATATATATATATATATATATATATATATAATTTTGCCGAATTATTTTATTTAGGAAATTGTTTTTTTTATTATTTGAGAAACAATTTTATTCTCTTCAACATTGTTTTAATAAAATATCTGCTAAGAAAGGTAAACTGTTATTAGGGACTTGATTGAGTTAGAAAAAAAAAACATCCCTTTACAAAATAAAAAAAAAATGATTTCATTTTTAAAATGCAAAAATGTGCCAAAAAAGAAAATTTTTGGATAATTTTGCGAAAGATTTTCCTGAAATTGTTCTTGATGATTTTTTCCGAAGTCTAGTAAAGTCTAAAAAAACGTTCCATCCATTCTTTATATCATAAACAAATTATTTAAAAATATTTCCAGCCCATCGATTTTATACAGGTGGGATACAGCAACCCCTCACTGCTTAAGAAATTACATCCATTTTATTTCCGGATGATTTTAGATAAAAATAATAAAGATTGCCAAGTCTAACCTTCACGGCTATTTAAACAAAGCATGTCACTGACATTGTAGTAAATCAACAAAATTCTCTCCGTATTCAATTGGTTAGAAATAATTTTTAAAATTCAAAGCTACATCTCGCCAATGTTTGCTCATTTTTTGCAAATTTTTTTTTCAATTTAAACATGTTTCATCCAATCATAATAAAAAATTAACCTGTTCAGGTTATAGGATTATATATTAAATTTTCATTTCCGCATAAACTGTTTTTATATTTAAATATATATATATATATATATATTATATATATATATTGTAAAGGTAGACCTTTGCAAAAATATAACAAATAGCGTCCAAAACTAAAGGGACAAAATTTTAAAAATAATAAAAAATCCAAATAAAAATACTGATTTGAAAGACTGAAATTTTGACAACTGGTAGTCGTTTCATCCATCTAATTAAAATACTAAAATTTGAATCATTTGCCAAAGGATAGAAAAATTATAACTTATTATTCATCAGTTGTTAAAAATAACAAATTGTTTATATTTAATCCCTTTTTTTTGGACCTAATCTAAATATATAAATGAAAATCAAAAAAAAACATTTCGATTGTTTGCACGCTCCTTCGTTTTTTGATTATGATTGACATTATTATGGAATTTTTTTTTTTGTTTCCATAATATTTTGAAATTTATTGGATTTCCGGTAAATGCAGAAGGTTTTTAAAATTTATTTTGAGATTATTTTTTTTTAAATGCAATGGTGCTTTTTTTGAAATATACGGTGAAAACATGAAAACAATATACTAAGAAAAATTCATGGGAAGAAAAAACAATGCGCATATACAAATTTAAAATAAAAAAAATGAAAAAAATAAAAATTCCTTAACAAGAAACATATTTATATTTTTTATCAAAACACACATTTTTACACACACACACACACACACATATATATTATTTAATTATATATATAATATTATATAATATATATAATGGAATCTATTTTGGTTTTGATGTATCTTGAAGAGCATTAAAAGGCCCAATTCTCAAAATTCATTTGTTTTTTAAATCTATATATATATATATATATATATATATATATATATATATATATTTAAGTGTATTAATAAATATATATATATATAAAATTTTTTATTGTGAAAATAAAAGTTTTTTTTCGTAGAAGAAAATATAGGATTAATTTTTTTTCAAATGTAAAAAAAATATTAAAAAAAATTATTTTTTGAATTTATATATATCGGTGAATTTATAAATACGGATATATTTTAACATTTTTTAAAGCAGAATTTCACCCAAGCAAGGCAGGGGTGCCACTAGCACGCAAGGGGTTACAGAGAGTGGGAGCAAGAGTAAAGAGGCGTGATAGAGGAAAGGATGAAGAGAAGGACGGGGAATAGATCAAGGCATCTGGAGATGTCGATTGACATTACATTTGAATATTTGGAGATTATAGCTATCAGGGAAGCAAGTAAGAGGAAGGGAGTTCCACAGACGGGAAGTGCGAGACATGAAGCTATTGGAGTAGAAGAGACGGCTACATTTAACCGTTTCGACAGTGAAAGGGTGGGACTGAGATGCCAACCTAGTAGCACGTTTAAATTCATGCAGTTTGGGAACTAGCGAAAGTAGCTCGTCGGAGCAGTTACCGTGAAAGTATTTGTAGAAAAGACAGAGGGAGGCGACGGCACGTCTGTGAGAGAGCGACTGTAAACGAGATGCCAGATCAGGGCCAATCACATTGCATATCCGTCTCTGGATTTTGTCGAGGACCCTAAGACGAACAGCGGTGCTCCATACATGACAGCAATATTCCATGCAAGGACGAATGGTTGATTAAAAGATTTGAAGAATGGACTCGGGCGAAAAAAACTTTCTGGAGCGATATAAAGAACCAACCATCCTTGCAGTAGATGAATCTATTGATTCAATGTAATTGTTCCATCTCAGGTCAGCGGACAGTGTGAGACAGAGCAGTCGCAAAGAGGTGCTCTCGTAGAGTTGAGCATCAGAGATTCTAATGGGAGGCAGGAAGGTTTCTCTGAGGCGGGTAATAGAGAGCAGTTTTGTTTTTGAGGCATTTGTTAACCAGCCAATACCTGCCCCAGTCAACAACCGATTGTAGGTCCTTTTCGAGACAAACGGCGAAGTTAGTTTTGTCAGCGATACCAGATTTGTTATTTAGGCAAGAGTAAATACTGGTGTCGTCTACATAGACGCCTACTTGGGAACTAATGACACCGGGAAGATATTTAATGATGATAAAGAACAGTATAGAACCCAGGATAGAGCCTTGGGGAACACCTGCATTCGTTAGAAAGGAACCAGAGGAGAATCTGTTAAGGACTACCTTCATTACACGGTTTGACAGGTATGATTGTATTGTCAAATAATCGTCCTGAAGTACTGTATCCATGAAGCTTGCGAAGGAGGCCGGCATGCCAAACCCTATCAGGTGCTTTAGGGATATCCATAGCCATGGTACGAGTTTTCTCCGTTATTGTGAAGTGCTTGGTAAACAAATTCAGTTTTGGCCGTGAGCACATCTGCTGTAGGTCGGACAAAGGAGAAACCATATTGCTTGTCTGAGAGCAGATCATGGGATAAGGTCTTAACCAAGCGTTGATTAAAAATTCAAAGACTTTCTGAAGAAGATAGGAGAAGGACGGTAGTTAGATGGGTCAGAAGGGTCCAAGTTCTTAAGGACAGGAGATGAGGACT